TTTTGGATTTTCGAGACAGGGTTTCTCTGCGTAGCTTTGCGCCTTTCCTGGAGCTCACTTGGTAGCCCAGGCTGGCCTCGAACTCACAGAGACCCGCCTGGCTCTGCCTCCCGAGTGCTGGGATTAAAGGCGTGCGCCACCACCGCCCGGCATCAAAAGTGCATTTTAATTGTACTTAATAAACTCTCCCCCCAACTCTACATACCCTCAGCCGTCTACTTGGTTTCTAATGTGTCTCAGCTTCCCACTTTCCACACTTCTCTGCCCACCTCACCCGCTCCCCTCTCTGGGCTTGGCTAAGCCTTCTCAACCCTTTTTCTCTGCTACCCAGTCTCTCCTTCACCCTCACATACCCCTAAACGTAGGAAGGAAGCCGCCGCAGGAGCCAGCTTCACACACCGGACTCTCCTCACTAACTTCCCTTCTCCGCGGTGGATGGCCATACCCTGCCTCCCTGCCTGGCAAGGGAGCAACCCGAAATATAATCGGGCCTAACTTCTTCCCAGAGTTCCCGAAGGGTGCGAAGCGGGAACAGAGAGGTGACCTCAGTAAGAGAGTGCGGGTAGTGGGGACACAGGTCAGAGGGCAACCCGTGGGTCTCAGATACCGTCCACAGAACCAGGCCAGTTTGTTGCTAGGTAACCAGATCTCCTATCACTGCAGGAGCGCATCACACTAAGGCAGCCTCTGGCTGGCTTCTGTGGTGTCTCTCAGACATCCACTCTCCGTGGGACTTTGAAAGCAAGGGGAGAGGAGGGCGAGAACCCAGCCACCACCCTCGAGTGCCTCGGGGCTCTGCCACTCATCGTTTTCCTCTGAAAAGAAGGCCATCTGGGCTGTGAGACAGCTGCCACCATGAGTTTGGGCATCATGGAAGAGGAGGACCTGGCCGAATACTTCCGGCTCCAGTATGGGGAGCGGCTTCTTCAGCTGCTGCAGTGAGTGCTTGGGAGTCCGTCTGCCTCACCTCTGAGTTCGGGACCACCTATACCCACACCAGGTCCCACTGCTTGCTCTTCCCTACAGCCTGGTGATCCTAATTGCCTTATCCCATTGCCCAACTCCACCCTGACTGGGTCCCCATCCCTCGCTCGCTCCTGAAAGCCCGGGTAGTCCTCTCGCCTCAGCACACTGCTCCTTTCACTAAAGTGAGAGCAGAGACCCCTTTTCCTGTCCATGGGCATCTGTCTCCCCGAATTACTCCCTACCCCAGCCTGCTCCAGCCTCAGAAGGTCCCTGTCTCCCTTTCACACTTCTTGGGCAGGAAGTTCCCCAATGTTGAGGATCAGTCAGATTCGCCATCCATCCGTCTCCTGGAAAAGAAGAAAGAAGCCAAGATTATGCACCAGGCTATGGAAAACAAGAAGCAGGTGAGGTGGGGAGTTAGGGTGATAAGGGTAGGGGTGGGGATAGGGAAGGGATTGGATCAACATTAATGGATGCTGGTCCCTCGTTTTGTGGGTGGGGTGGCTAGAGCTGGAATTCTGACTGGTGGTTCTGGTCTCTTTCCTTCTCAGAGAACAGAAAGGGTGTGAGTCTCAGGGGAACCAGGGTCCTGGGATACTACACTAGAAGCACAGTGCAGAATGGGGAGTGCAAAATACAAGCCCTTCTGTAACTACATTTTGTTTGAGGTGTTGGGGATTGAATCTATTAGGCAAATGCTACTTCCTCAGCCTTTCAAGATGCTCCTGCACCAAAGGATATATAACACTCTGGGACAAGTGATGTTAGAATCTTTCTGAGCACCCATGTCTCTTAGAGGGCTCCCTGACTTCTACCTTCTCACATCCCCTAAAGACATTCCAGCGAAGAATGGAAACACTGAACCTGCGCTGGGAGGAACTAGGTGTCAAGGAAGAGCAGCTGAAAGCCCATATTCAGAAGTTTGAGCAGTTCATCCAGGTATGAACCGGTGTGGGCTGCAGCAGGCTGGAGGATTTACACTCCGCACAGGGGCAAACTGTTCCTCCCCAGTACTTGATTTTGTAGGCTCCTCGCCCTGGGTTAAAGGCATCTTCTGTGTTCCAGCAGTGCCTGGTGCTTTCCGAGGCATCTTCTATATACCGTGCTGTTTGTAATGTCCTAGGTACCCATCAGTCCCTGCTCTCTAGTTGGCTCTTGTTTCCTTGCCAGTACCTGAGCGAGTACATCAAGTGGATGGGTGGATGGGTGGATCAGTAGGTGTGATGGATAGATGGATGTGCTCCTAACAGAGATTCATGGAAACAGCAGTGAGTCAGAGGGTTTGGATCCACTCACTCACTCACTCACTCACTCGCTCTCTCCATCTTTGTCCTTGCACTGAAAATGGGGGAACTGATGAAGGCAGGGAACCATTGAAGGACCAGGAAGCAAAGAACCCTGTAAGAATTCTGTTTTGAGAATTTCTGCCCCAGGTTAAGGGGTTAACAGTGTTCTCTTCCTTCTAAAGTCGCAATGGCTCTGGGGAACCAATGAGTTTGTTAGGGTTACTTACAGAACATGAGTGAGTGCGTACAAGCAGGAGGGTGCACCATCTTAAAGCAGAGCTGGAAGGTCTGTCCCCAGCATGGACGATGGCTTCCTCATGGTTACATAGATGTTGCCTCTCCCGTTGTCCCCCCACACACACCTATATACTCCAACCCCTCTCAGAGACACGAGGGCCATATGCAACTAAGGCAGAGTTGCATACAACTAGTTGGAAGGAGTGGCTGGGTTCTCAGGTGAGGATCCCATGACCCCCACCCCCTTTCAGTGAGGGAGCACCAACAGTCAGCAAGACCAATTATGATGACCATTTGTGACTTGGTGCAAAAGATGGCAGAGGACAGTCCTCTACAACACTCCCCCTTTATCAGTACTTGGGAGAGGGAGCTAGTGGTGCTAAAACCCTGATTTGAGCTGGCAGGATGGCTCAGTGGGTAGAAGCGCTTGCCACCCAAGCCTGACTCGACAGCTTGAACTAGTCCCCTAGGACCCACACGTTGGAAAGAGAGAATTGGCTCCCATACATGGTCCTCTGACCTAGGCATGCACTGTAGCATGTACATACTCATACACATGCACACACAAAAATAAATAAAAATGTGAACAAAACAAAACAAAAACCTACCCAGACTTGCTGGCCAGCAATCCTCCGGGGAACAGCACTAGAGAAGCCCTGAAGGGCTGGGCCCTCTTGTAGGGGCCCATTGCTGCCCCCTTCTGGAGAAACCTTGCTCTTGACGCTCTGCATTCCGCTGTATGCACAACTGTGCAGAGCAGGAAAGTCAGAGCAGCAGACACTTCCTTCTGAGATGCAGCCCGCCTGGACCAGAGCAAAACTGATGGAGGATTTGGGAGGGCAGGAAGTTTGAGGGTTAAGGACTCTCCAAATGACTTCCAGGCAGTCCACAGCTACAGAATCTCATAGAACTTGCTGCAAATACAGACATCAGTAAGTTTTTCTGCCTCAAGCAGGTCTCAGATTGAGCCCAGACACCTACCATTTTTTCAGATGTATGGTCCCTAGGGCCTCTCTGATGCTTCCTGGCACTTCTCCATGGCCCCTAAGTGTCACCACCATATGTGCCCATCCACGAGGAATCACAGGAGCCACAACAGGAGAAGGGAGACACCTGGTGACGCCTGGGGAAGTGAAAGGAGTGGGCAGGGTCAGAGACTGCAGTTGCCCTCCAAGCCTCATCCTTTCTGGGGAGAATTGCCTGTATCGTCTCCTCCAGCCCAAGCCAATGCCAGGCTGAACTACCTCCTCCACACAGAGTCTCCGCCACATACGGTTGCATTATTACTGCCTTGGCTTTTGTAAGGAAGAGAGGGGCTTCCACCTCACAGCCGACAGCTGGTGAAACGGAGGCACTATGTACCAAATCAGGAGAACATGTGGGCTTCCCAACCCCGGCTGAGCCATCTGCCCCTAACACAAATGGCCGCCACTAAAAACAGAACCACACAAGCTTGGTCAAAGGCTTCCTGCTTCCATCCAGCCTTCCTTGGCCTTCTTGGATGCAAGAGAGAGATCTTCCTCTGTCCCTCTTTCTATGTGTTCTCTTCCCATGCCACACTCTCTGAAGTCCAGGGACCAACTCCCACAGAATCTGAATTCCCTGTTTGCATCCCCCAGGTTTTCAAGACCCCCCCCCCTCTGGACTTGAGCTAAATTTCCGCACTCACAGCTCCCTCAGGTCACAGAAGCCCCTTAGCTCTACAAAGTCCTTTGAAATAACCAAAGGCTCACCAAATCCTCTTCCTTCGCGCCTCCTCTCCAACATGGGCAGCCCTGCAAGCTCTGCCCGCCCTTCGGGTGGACTGAGTTCAACAGACAGAAGGGACCTAGGGTGTCACCCGCCCCAGGCAGGCCAGGGTCTCAGGGAGAGACTTACACCGCCAACCCCACCCCAGGAGAATGACCAGAAACGGATCCGCGCCCTGAAGAAAGCCAACAAGGAGCGGGAGCTGAAGCGGCAGCGCCTGCGGGAGCTGGCCAAGGCCAAGCAGGAGATGGCCGCTCTGCGGCTGGAGCACCAGAAGCTCAGCGTCAAGCTGCAGGACTATGCCATCTTCAACAAGTACCTGGAGAAGGTGGTGGAGAACTCTGAGGTGGGTCTCCGGGGCTGGGGGGCTGGGGCTGCTACACCACAGCACCCCGCCTCAGCACCCTTCCTTGTCCTCCCCCCCAAGTTAACGGAACAGAGCTCAGCTCCAGCTGGCTGGAGTTTAGGGGCCCCTGGAATGGTTATCCTGCTCTGGGGAGAGGCAGCAACCCTGGGGGACAGATGGCCAAGGCCCCTCACGAGGTTAGGTGCAGCTCTCAATGGGTGGGAGGGGCTGATGGTGTATCTGTGCACGGCTATACACGAATTGAGTGTTTACATACGCGTTTGGGTATGCCTGAGTCGGGGTGTGTGTGTGTGTGTGTGTGTGTGTGTGTGTGTGTGTGAGAGAGAGAGAGAGA